ACGAGCGCGTGATGGTCTCCCACCTCGACGGGAGAGACAGCCGCGCGCTCGACAAGTTTGCGCCTGCGCGGCCCTGCCCGATCGCGCCGCCGCAGCGGCAGCGGCGGGCGCACGTCGGAGGGGCGGCGCGGGGCGGGGAGGAGGGCTCGGCCGAGGAGGGGGCAGCGCGGGCGGGCTCGGACCTCTGCGCGTGCTGTGCCTGCGCCTCCCTCCGGGAGGACCCGCTGCGCTCTGGGGCGAGGGCGGTGCTGCGCCTGTGGGCGGTGAGGCGCGCCGTGCCCGGCGGCGAGGAGGGCGGCGAGGGCGGCGGCGGCGAGGAGGGCGGCAAGGAGGGTGGCGGCAGGACCGGCCGTGGTGCTCAGGGGGGCGCGCCGAGGCGGTTTGAGCTGAGGGTCCGGGTCTGTCTGCGCACGTGGAGCCGCGAGGGCGGCGGCGGAGCCTCCGGAGAAGGGGCGTGTGTAGTGTGCTTCCGCCACGGGCCTCACTGCGACACTCACGAGAGCAAGGGTCGTGGCTAGGGCCGCACAGCGTATATGTACGTGTTCGTTGGCATTAACATTAGTTATGACTTCTTAATCTTGTCCCGGAGCGGTAACCCCGCCGCCCTGCCTCCTCTACTTGAAGTTGAACGTTTTGAAAACGAATGCATTTTTTTGTGTCATTTACATTTTTGGATTTTGTGGCGCGTCCGATTTTTTCGTTGGAGCACTTGGAGAGTTGGAGTGCAGTCGGCAACCTCACATCCAGGGCCGGGGAGCTAAGAAGCGCACCCAGCGGGCCGGATGATCGGCATCGGGTTGCGGGCAAGAGAGCCCTAGCCCTGGGGGGCTGGGCGCTGGGGGGTGCGCAGACCTCGGATAGAGAGGCCGCAGGGGCGGGGGCACGACACGTCGGCAAGGGAGAGCGGCAAAAAATATGCACGCGGGAGCGGCGGGCCGCCGCCGGCCCTGGGGGTTTCACAGACCTTGGTATTAAGAATAAAAATACGGTAAGGGCATGTGGGCGCAAAGATACATTATCTGTCCAGCCTGCGCGCGGGCCGCGCCGCGCGTGTCCGGTGTCCGTGTGCGCAACGCAAACGCACACTCTCGACGGCCTGCTGTACCCCGGACCACACATTGTAGCTAAGATTAGGGCTAGCGTGCACCCCGCCGGCGCGAGACCGATCGCGTCGACACTACCCCCCACCCAATCAAGAGCTCACTTCTTGGGAGCTCGCGGCAGCTTTGCCCCTAGCGCCCTCTCAATCTTTGCGATGATGGCATTGTTGGGGATCGCCTTGCCGCTCTCGTACTCGTTGATGACCTGTCGACCGGGGCGGGCGGACGTGTTGGGGGCGCGGCGGCGGAGGCATGCGAGCGTCGGCGGGCGGTTCCCGCCTGCGGCTGCATGTTGAGTTGAGTCGCGAGCTGCTTTTGCGTCAGTCCCTTGGCGGTCCGCGCCTGGGCGGGAGGGGATCGAAGCCGGAGGTGAGTGCGGCAGCGGCGGAACGGCGCGCCCCGGAGGCGCGGGCGCGCCTTCGAGATGGCCAGCCGCAGATCCTTGGACACCGTCTTATCTGCTCGCGGGCGGCAGGCGGGAGGTCGGCGCTGCAGGGGTGCGCCGCAGCAGCGGACGGGGCTCGCGCGGGGCGCGGCGCGCACGCTTCAGCTCCTCGGTCTCCGCATCCAGCTTCGCGGCGCTCATCCCCGTCCCCGTCTGCGTACCGCCGCCGCCGCCGCCGCCGCCGCCCGGCTTTTTCCCAGTATTCGGCGCCTTGCCGAACACAATGTTCGGCTGGTTGTGGTCGTCCCCGCGCAATTCGCCGCGCCTGCAGGTTGTGGTGGACGGAGGGCGGTGAGCCCGGGCGCGCCTTTCCTCCGCCGCGGAGGGATGGAGGCGCGCACGATGGCATGGTGTAGACGGGCCGAGTCCAGGAAGGTGAGGGCGAAAGAATAAAAAAAGAAAATGGTTCCACTAAGGCCGCGCACGACACCATGCACGGAACTGGCTTTAAAATCCCTGTGTGGTGGCGGCGTGCCGTCCTCCCATCCCTCCCTTGGGGTTTTTGTTTTCTTTCTTTTTTTGCACGGGACTGGATTGGATCGGTACTAACAGGCGAAAAGAATTTTCTACGTTCGAAATTGAAAAGCATCTGGTTTACAGCGATGTAGAGAGAGAGGATAGAAGAGAGGTAGGTAGGTAGAAAGGTGAAGAACAGCTAGGCTCGGACTGGACACCAACGCGGTATGGGTGGACGCTATAGACAGATGATGACGACACGCACGAGCGACACACAGACACACTGGCACTAACAGGCAACAAAAAACTCTCCAGGCGAACACAAAACAAAGAGAAGAAGAAAGGAAGCCTCCTTATCCGGGAGAAGGCTCGGACGAAGTATGAGAAGAAACGTCCGATAGCGCTATGCGCTGGTCTGTGATAAAGGATCCCAAACGCACAACCCCGGCACAGGAACGCACAACCCCGCTACCCCGGGCCCGCTGGGTGCGCTTCTTAGCTCCTGCTTAGCTCCCCGGCCCTGGATGTGCGGTTAATGACGGCGCTCCAAGTGCTCCGAATGCTCCCGGGCCCGAAATCGCACAGAGACAATCACGCAACACGGGGTCCCAGGGAAGGCCTTCACCCTTTGGGGACCCGCTGTGTGTGTGCGGCGGCATGAACACCTAAAGGGTGAATGAGTACTTAACTGAGTAGCCTCTCTCCTTGGCCTTGCCCGGGGCGATATGTGAGAGAGATATATACAGATTTTTCGCAATACCAACACATCAAGAAGGAAGAGAGGCCTCCTTATCAGCTGGTCGGCCGCCATGTGGGCCTCCGGGCCTGCTGCGGCGGCGCGGCCGGTTGAGGTCGGGCTCGGTCCGGCCCGCGACGGCTGGCCGCCGACGAGCGTGCTCGCGCTGCTCGTCCAAAATGGTATCTGTGTCTATTGCTGTGACAGTCGTTCTTTCGTTCATCGTTCATGTCCCTGCCTTCATTCATTTTTGGATTCTTTTCTTACTTTTTTACTCTCCTTCGCCACTCTTCTCTCTTCTCTATGGCATTAACCTTTCTTTAATCTATTTCCTCTACTATAATAACTATCTTTCTATCGCTTCCTATTTTCTTCCTAC